GCTGCAGCCTCCCCACCCCAGGCAGCCAGTGCCCCATCTCACCACCTCCTAAGGCTGGCGGTCCCAATGCACAGGCTCTGGCTGCTGCAGCGAGCTGGCTAGAGACTGACTCCTGACTCCTTGGGATCAGAACTGTGCTGTGTGTCATATGCCCCGTACGGTCAGCATCTGATTGAGATTCTCCTCTGGATCAGCCAGGCTGATGGAGCAGACGAGGCCAGTGCACGCTATTACCTGGCTGCTCCCCTGGGGTCTCGCCGGCCGACGTTTGAAAGGACAGGAAGAGGCGCTGGCAGAGCGTGTCTGAGATCTCCGCCTCCAGGTAGATTTTCATAAACAGCTTGAAGCCCTCGAAGTCGATCGACTGGGGGAGGCAGCAAAGAGAGGGAGCAGTCAGGGGGCCCTGCTCAGTGTTTCTGCTGGGGGAGGGGGGAGGCAGCTCAAAGCAATGGGGCCAGATTGGGTCCTTCCCAGGGAGGTGTGGGGAGGGCATCAGGGTGGACTCACATCTCCCTGCAGGTGCTGTGCCAATTCGCCATCCCCATAGAATTCCTTCAGCACGTCCTGGACCTTCTTGCTGCTGTCTGCGGGGAGAGGTGGGGGACGAGGGGGGGGGGCAGGATCCCAGGGCCCTCCCCCAGTCGGGATGGAGGAGCAACCCTGGTTGAGCCCTCCTCTCCCCCTCCCCCAGCCCCATAGTTGTGTGTGAACTCTGGGGGCAAATCCCGCTGCTTTACCAGCCCCACAAAACTTCCCAGCCTTATTGGGGGCCAAGCCAACCCCCAATCCCTGGCAGGAAATCAGCCCCTCCCCTGCAGGCCTGGGCAAATCCCCAACACAGGTGACCCTCCCTGACCCCCCAGGTCCAGGGGGTGTTTACCGCCAACGCAGCTGGGTGAATGGAGCTGCCCTGTTCACCCCCCATACCCAGGGCCCCATCCCGTTTCTGCCAGAGAAGCAGCAGCCCTCCCCACTGGCCCCAGCGCCCTAGGACGAGCCCGAATTGGCGGGCTGGTGGGGGTGATGCTCCCAGGTTGGGTGGCCCCTTTCCCTTGGCCCCCAGGGCCTCAGGCTGCCTGAGACTCTGGGATGGGGGGAAACGCGGCTACTCACAGTCAATGTACTTCAGAAGATGGACAAACTCCTCGGGGCTCAGTGTGGCCCATTCCTTGCTCTCCGACATGGCGTCCGGGGGCCTCCGGGCCGCGGCTG